CAGCCCACAAAAAAAAAAAAAATTGAAATTTCAAATCTCTGAAAACAGGTTTGTATTATAAAAGGAACATGCTGATCAAATCTATCAGAATAGCAAAGACTGCAACCGAAATTTAAGCACATTAAGCTTTTTTATGTCATTCCTTTTACACCATATACTGGTTGTATTTAGAAGAATCCTAAAGTGCTTCAAACCCAGCAATTAATAAAGTCGATTTTTTTTGTGCAAAACTGCAAGCACCTTTTAGAAAAAATAAGCAGCAGCTTCAAGGAATAAAAACTTACAATAGTTAAATCTATTTTATCTATTTTGTTTTTGAATTCTTGGACCAAAATAATTTGCCATATTTTCAATAACAAGTTGCAGAAGAGTGTATTTTATTAGTTCAAATTTTATGCTGGACTTGTTATACATGTGCTGTTTGAAATAGAGGACCCAGGTAAATTTACATCCACAAAGCAACACTGTGGGATTGAAATCCAACTAAAAGTTTAGCTACAAAAATAGTCACTTTATAAAACAGCAACGATGGTTATCTCTCCACTTTCCTCCAACACTGATAAGAGAAAAGCTGGTTTACTTAAAACATTAGTTTAGCTCCAGACATCTTGAGCATGCAGAGCAGGTAGAAAATAAAACTGACTTGATAAGTTGTGTAACAAGCTTTTAGAACATCACTATCACTCAGGTAAGAGACAGTTGAAAATATATGTAAAATAATGTGCCAGAATACACTTTTTCTGTCATATTTCAACAGGTTAAAAAAAAAACCAAATCAGCGACACTCTGGAAAAGCAAAGAAATCACTAGATTCATCTACAGGAACTCACATCCAAATTCTGCATCTGGGTGCAGGTGTTCCTGGATCAAAACCAGTTTTGAGCAGGAGTTACACAATACACAACCCAGGCAAGAATTTGGCTCCCAGTATACGGTATCACCAAGTTTAGCATCAAGCCCTGATAGAATCCATATGACATATGTGGAATATACAGACAAAGGCTGTTCAGCATTTACCCACACACACACTTTAAGTGCTTCCATTTCAAGTGTCACAATTCCACTGAAACACTCCCCACCAGCCAACTGCTGCAGGACTGAGCCTGTTCTCCAAACCCTCTCTGCTCAGTAAAGATTTGTCTGCACTTTGACACCTGAAATCCTCACACCCCACGCCAGGGGAGTGTGCTTCTGCCAGAAAAAGAAGGGGCACCCACTCAGCTCCTGGGGACTCAGTGTGTCAGCTTGATTTTGAATGTTTAAATCCTATTTCAGTTGTAAAGTTATAATTTTTAGCCAAATGTGATCAGTTTTTAAAAGGAAACCAATTTAGTATTTAAGGTCCTTCCTTTAGGAAAGAAAAACCCATGGCATCACTTTTTAAAAATTAATTTTGAATAAACAAGTATGATCTGTTAGGACTTAAAAAAGATAAAAAAACCTCAAGAGCCCTCTGGTTTGTAACAGTTTTTTGAATTTACCAACCAACTAGTTAATGTCTAGTTAAGGTTTTTGATTTTGTTTTTCATTATTCTGGCAATGAAATGCAAACCCTTTACTGGAAACATTACAAAACTTCAAAGGCTGTTTGCAGACACTAGTTTCCAGTCATTAGTTTATTTTATATGATCCATGCAGACAAAGCCTTAATTTTGACATTCATTTCTTACTTTTTTCAGTAAAAACCCTAGACTTGTCATATCACTGTATTTCCTCAAAGCACACTTACAGGCTGCTTATCCAGATTTCAAAAGGCCAAGTTTCTCTTCCTCAGGTTTTGGGTTTTTTTTTTTTTTTTTTTGAGGAAAAATGTCATGAGCACAGATGAAATGAACTGTTTAAAACATACTCCATTTCTGCAATGCCATTCAGCTACTCAGTGTTCATATATTTAACATAATGTTTCTGGTATATAATCTGACTGATAGCCATAGATCCCTCTTTTTTCAGGTGAGCAGTTAAGATTACAGATTGCATCTACGTTGACCACCACTTATTTTTAGTCATATTTCATAAATGGTGTATGTATACTGCAGTAGTGTTAACACTATACAAAGTTTCTCAAAGTAAAGTAACATCCATGTTTACAAAACTGAGCAGGTTTCTTTATATATACCTATATGTATACACACACTCACAGAATCCTTAAATACATATAAATATTTATAAATGCCAAAGTGCAAAAAAAAAAGGTCAATTGCATCACTTTACATACATGACTTTAGTATTAGGAGTAAAAGTGACTATATTGCACTCCAAACACTCTGAACTTTTAGACCCCTGTCAGGTTACATGTGCATTGTGTTTTCCACCAAGGACGAGGTTCTCACAGCTTTGAAAACCATTCACAAACGTGGCACTGAACTTAATCTGCAGCCAGAAAGACAACTATATGGATATAAACTGCATGCAGTGCATTTATAGGCTACGTGTGCACACTGAAGCAGCATGGCAACTTTAGCATGCATCTATCCTGCATGCAGACTTCTGCATATAACCTGCATAATGTGCCTTCTTGAGATGGATGTACATTCAGGTCATTGGCAATTGGGTTTTGAACTATACTGGAGTCAAAATCCACAATATTCACAGACATTTCATGCATGCTCCCAGGCAGTGACATTTCTGTAGAAATTTTGAAGCTTCAATGTATGCCACAACTATAAGACATTAAAAAAATAAGGTATGAAACAGCTTTTCCTACAAGATTTACAAATAAACCCAGTTAAGCTCAGGGTTTTTTGTTCCAAGAGTATATAATCAAGCTAACTGTAGGTACTAGGAAAGGGTCAAATACCAGCTCAAATCGTGGAGATAGAGCAGTTGTGTTAAAAGAATCATTAAAAGACAATTTGAATCAGAGAGTAATTTAGACTGGAAGAGACTGGGAGGTCATCTAGTCCAGCTCCCTGGCGTTCTGAGCAGCCCAAATCCAATAGGAAAAATTTGACTCTGTAAATATCCAAAATACATGACAAAAAAAAAAAAAAATCCAAGCAACCCACCCCCCTCAAAAAAAACCACAAATACACACACACACAAAAAAAAACCAAACAACTTTGTTGCTTTAAGTTTTTTAAAGCAGTAACTGTTAAAATGAACATAGCACAGTGCAGTTTCAATTGAAAAAGATAAAAGTCTTGAAAAATGAGATCAGTAGATTACTTCCATAGTGAGTCACCAATGTTCATTTTGAATAGGTATCTTCAGTAATTTTAAGTTACACAAAACCCAAGGATTTAAAAAAAAGAAGCAAAAGAACAGTAACCTGTACTGTTCTGCTATTCATTAAAAGGTGTTTTAAAATGTTTTATGTTTTTTCTAGTGACAAAAATGCACTAACAATATTTCACATATACCATCGGTATCCAAAGATAAACTAAAGTATCTGTAGGTTTAAAACCAAACAAGATAAAACACAAGCCCTAATATCCTGCAATTCAATTAAACAGAACTTTAAAAATCCAAGATTCCAGATGACAATTCTGAAATTAACATCATATTAAGTACTTCATTAAAGGTTTAACCTTCTGGGAGGGTTAAAAACTTAATATTTTTGCTACAGCAAATTAAGGTGTTAAAAAGGGGTGCATAATAATACAAAAGCAGTGTTTGCAGAAAGAAAAATTGGTGCTTTTCATATTGCAAGGTCAGAAACAATGGACAGTTTTCTTTTACAAGAGAAATACGTCAGTAATGCAATGGCTGGCTGGGCCAGTATATTTTATAAGTTCTATTTATACATTCAAGTCAAGAGTATCTGGATCAAAAAATAAAACTAGTGCTTTTAAGAAAGTGGTGTTTTACCTCATCTTGTATGTCTCTATTACTCTTATATAGTTTAACCTCACACACATGCACACACAAGATCCTTCAGCAAAATCTCACACCAGTGCACTCCAAAGTGAACGTGCACAATGTCACAAGTGTGTAGTATAAAGTAACTTAAGCTCTACTCTACTGCAGACATTTTCTAATTCAGCATATTGTGCAATGTAACAGGCAATGTTTGCATTATCTGATTCTGAAAGCTGTATTGATAAGCCTGTATTGAAACAGCAAAAAAAATCTCCTCCTCCCCTCTGACACTGTATTTAGAAAACATGTATTAAATATGTTTTTCTCCCCTAGTACAAATAGAGCTTTTGCTAAAGCAGGAGCAGAGCTAAGCTTTGTTAACTACTTAATTTACAAGTGAGTCAGAACTACTGTATTTTTATTTCTTTAATTCCTTGCTAGATAGAATGGACCCATTTTAAAAAAAAATGGAAAACATTTATGCAGCTCTTTATGAGGCTGTGAGTCTCTCCAATTCATCTGTCCTTGGATCAGTTTGCAGTGAACGAAGAGCAGCACAGATATAATTTCCTTTTCTGTTTTTGTCAAAGGACCAGTATCACAAGCTAGAAAATACAGAACTTTTTAGCACTCTCTCCTCTTCCAAACAGGCACTGCTGCTTCACAGGTAAGTCACTCACCCTTCCTCGAGATTTCACTGAGCCACTCTATCCTCCCTGCATGTTTAAAAACACCCAAAAAGGTTAGTGACACATACTCATAGATGAAATATAAAGTAGTGGCTATATTCTTTAAATTTCATGTTTAACTCTTCTACCAGAAGATAGATTTGTTGGAAAGTGAAGATAGGAAGGGTTCAATTAAAAAAAAAGTGCTATGTGGAAGAATAACTGCCCTTTAAACATAGTACTGAGAGCATTCAATGTGCAAGTTCACACTCACATACAACTCTCCAGTAAATAGAGCAAGCTGCCACAGTCACACATTAAAACAAACTTCATAGAGACTATACATTAAAAAAACCTACTAATGAGCAATACTGTACTAAAATGTAAACGACCTTTGTGTCACAGAAGCCTGCCAGTTGGGACTGCAGATTCATGAACCCACTTAAAGAGGAGTTGTTGGCTAAAAGTCTATTATAACTGCTCACCTGAAATAGGCTGAAACAAAGAAAAGCCTATAATGGAGTCTAAATTTACTTTTTTTTTGTTCTTTAGACATAGATTTGCTTTCATTCTACAACATTAAGCAGGCAATTTCATAACAACTGAGTAAAAAAACAGGCATTACTTTAGCAGAACATGCAGAACATGGAGTTTTTTCTACTTGGTTCCATTAACTTACAAGCAATTCAGGCCCAATGGAAGCAAGAGTTCTTTTCCAAAGTCAAGTCTGCAATCCTGGCTGATCATCGACATCCTTCAAGGGGTCCTGTCAAGGCATCGAGGCTGCTGTCTGTGTCTGAGGCCAATGTTTGCTCTGTTGACATGGATGAAATGTCATTGATAGATGATGACTGGGAAGGACTGGTGTTGCTATTCACTGCTGCATCTGTGCTAAGTAAACCAAACATAATACAATCTGAGGCAAGGCAATATTGCAGGTATAAGTAACCACACTTCTAGGCTCCAAGCATCACTTTCCCCACAGAAATCCTTGGAAAATAAAGAAACTAATAAACAATAAAAAAGCAAGCACTAAGTTCCCTAGCACCCAAAACCTGAGGTGAATATTAAGAGAATTTTATTTTACTCCCTCACTAGGGAGAGGGGAAAAAAAAAAAGTCAATGTAAAATGTGAGTAGTGACCTGACTATCAAGAAATCTGATAGATATAGTTAAGAAAAGACAGTACAATATTCCAATTACTGAACCAAGAGAAGACCAGAGAACATCAAGGTTTCAATCATGGGCATAAATATTTTGCACTTTGTCTAACCCTGTGTGAAAGGGACTCATTCATGCAGAGCCACAGACTAAACATTCAGCATATAAAATATCTGTGCAATAGGTGACATAACACAACATTGATGGTTTCATTTGATGACTGAGCTCTTTGGGGAGAAGGCAGCTCAGGGTGTTGGACACACAAGACTTGAGTTTTCCAACAAGCTACTTCATAACAGTGAAAAACTCCAAAGGCAAATCAGTATCAAGAGTCTTGAGTAACAGAACTTCTGCCTACCTGGATTATTAAGCAGGATTTCTTCATTCACTGGTGCAACAGACCAGCACTATGCACCACAGTTAGAGGAGAACTACTGAAACAATGACTAACCTGAGGGCTGATCTTTTACCACACCATTCTTGCTCCTTTCTTCCCAATCCATTACTTCTTTGTATATTAATTCTTAAGAGAGAAGGGTGGGAGGAATGAGAGAAGAGACAGACAAAAACACTGTAAGATGACAGAGGATTTGCATACAATTTACATATGCATAGTTCCAATGACATAGTTAAGGGTCAGTCTGGAAACACAGCTGTAGAAGTATTTATTTTCCCTTTGTAGTTGTTAGGTTAGTTTGTTGTTTTTTTTGTTTGTTTGTGTGGGTTTAGGTTGTTTTTTTTGGTTTTTTGCTTGCTTTGGTTGGTTTTTTTTTTTTTTCCTTTTTTTCTTTTTTTAAAATGCCTGTGGCAATAATTAGAGAATTCTATGGATTTTCTTCACGTGCCACAGAAAGCCACCATGTACCAAAAATCACCTATTTTATAAATAGATTAGCAGTGTGTTTAAAAATAATAACCATCCCATTCCAAAACTTTATGTATACCTATGATGCACTAACATTAACTGAAAATATCAAAACCAAACAAAACCCCCAAGAGTCAAAAAATCAATCCCCATGGATACAATGAAAAAAACCTGGAAATTCTTAAGTAGGTTAAACAGATCATTAAAATCTGCATGAAAACTCTCGCTTGCTAATCAAGAATGATTTTGGATACAGGCACCTAAACAACAACAAAAAAATCAGAGCTGTAACTTTACTAGAGCACCCATCATTCTGTTTGATCTGCCTGTAGTATGGGTCACCCCAGATGGGTTATCTCAGCCCCTCCTAGAGCAACAGGATTATTACTGCTGCAGAGCATCAGGTACACTTTAAATTAGACTGTCAGTTAATTCACAGTAGCCTGTGTACGTACCCACAGTCCTACTGAAATTAAGAGTAGCAATATTTAAATAGATTAAGACCTCTTTAAATCTGAGTAACAACATCTACAAACTGATTCCATCAAATTTAACTGATCCATTTTAATTTTCCACCTTGCGTGAATCCAAAATAATTTGAAGTGTACCTATGCAGACATGCCCCTACAGAAAATACATAAACCAGAATCTGTACCTGAAATGTATAAAGATATTTTACAAAAGCAAGGTAGCACTAAGCAAAGATGTCTGTCACTTTTGGTCCTTTGATGGTAGATGTGTAAAACCTACACTGCCTCACCACCTCATGTTTTTGATTAGAACTATGAGGTGGAATTGATTTCAACACCACAATGCTGTTTATTCTATTGTTTAAGTCAACAGTTTAACCTATTTGGTCAATAAGTAGGTAATGAGGACAGAAAAAAACAAACAAAAACCTTTTCTGCTATTTACGACCTCTAGAACAAATTAATTAGTAAATATTGTCATGAGCTATGGCTTAAATAATGCACATTGAGAAGAGGCATGTTTCTCTTCCAAAGGTAAAAAAAACACTGAGATTACAAACACTCAACAAGAAAATACTCAGGAAACAAAAAGCAAGCTGTGGCATTTTATTGAATAGACTTCAGATATACATATATGTACTTATCTGCCTATGTGTGTGTGTATATATATTTACTCCAAATAGAACATTTTCCATTATTGATATTTTTGTATCCCCACAAGCAGTACTGCACAACTGGGCCAGCAGGTCCCAGGCAGTTACACACCCCAGCACACATACTGTGAGCCACACGTTAACCACACCAGTTACTATAACAAATCTCATTTGTCATGCTCACTTTTTACCTTTCCATTCTTCAATTGCATGTTCTCTTTCTTCCAACTGTGCATCATAGATTTGAGGTGGAGGCTACAAAGAAAAGAAAGTCTATAGTGTATCTGCTACATCAAGGCAACACAATCAATTGTAACTATAAACCCCTAAAAATGACAACTTTTTTAGCTTTTTATTACCTTCACGTTTGGTGGTCTGTTCCCTATACCTCAAAGACATTCATTTTACAACTCCAGAATTTGCTTTTAAATCCTGCCTCTCACTGAAAGGCTCCTTAAAAACATCAACTAAAATTAAACTCATTGTAACTCATTGCTTACATTTACTCATTGAGAGACTAAGAAAAAGTCCTTTTTCCCAAAGCCTGAGGTTACCACCACATACACAACTCTTTTGGAAAGTAAAAGGAACTCTCAACAACCACTTGCAAAATTAGACTAACTCTGCTCCAGCAGCTGTTCTTCAGGTGATTCTGCCCCTAATATTGATCTGGAGTCTTTATGTGTGAAGTGTGCTAGCCAAACAGCGAGTTCAAAGCATCCTCTTGACTAAAACTAAAGGTATTTTGTAAAGTTATTAAACTGATATATTATCCTGCCTCTCACTGAAAGGCTCCTTAAAAACATCAACTAAAATTAAACTCATTGTAACTCATTGCTTACATTTACTCATTGAGAGACTAAGAAAAAGTCTTTTCCCAAAGCCTGAGGTTACCACCACATACACAACTCTTTTGTAAAGTAAAAGGAACTCTCAACAACCACTTGCAAAATTAGACTAACTCTGCTCTAGCAGCTGTTCTTCAGGTGATTCTGCCTCTAATATTGATCTGGAGTCTTTATGTGTGAAGTTTGCTAGCCAAACAGCGAGTTCAAAGCATCCTCTTGACTAAAACTAAAGGTATTTTGTAAAGTTATTAAACTGATATATTGAAATTTATTCTAAATCCAAACTTACAGCTTCTGCTTAAGCAGGATCATACCAGACAGTAATATAAGGATGACGTAAGGCTTCATCTACAGAAATTCTCTTGTCTGGATCTACCACAAGCATTTTTGATAATAAATCTCTAGCTTGGCTGGCTAGAAAGTAAAAATGAAAAGAACACACATGTAAAAGAGCTGTAGAGCTTAACATCTGACACAGAAAATGAATACTGGGAACACAGGACACAGACTGTAACAGATTTTACTGTGAAAACAGGCCCACAAATCCAAGATTTCCTATATAGCTACATTTTTTTAAATAAGGTCCCACCTTTTTAGTGTAAATATTTTGCTGTTATGCAAAATAAACCCTACAGCTGACAACGACCAACCTCAATTTGGAACAGTTCTGCTGTTAAGTGGGTCACAGCTCATTTGGCACTAACTACTGAACATAAAGCACACTAAACATTTTTAATGAGTTTTTAAAAATGCATCTTGGTACAGTAATGATCTAATTCCTGCACTATCAAACTTGGTTTTACTGCATGATCACTGGCTACCCATTGCTGCAGTGGCACTTCACTAGCATCTCTTTTTTGTCTGAACAATCACTGCAGTAATAAAGTAGGCTGTAACAAGCTTTATGTCAAAAAAATTGACCATCTAGAGAAGATAAGGTAGATTTTTTAAATGTTATCAGTAATTCTCTAAAGTCGAAGTATAGTCAAAATTAAATACACATACCAACTAGAAAAAGATCATTACAAATAACTTCCATAACAAGTATTATTTTTAGAGAATATTTAAGCAACTGACATTATTCAATAGATTAGAATTGAGATAATTAAACAGAATACTGGGGACAAGGAACTAGTTCTGTATTTAATGACTACTAGTAAGATTTAAGGACACGTCCTAAATGAAAGAAACAGAAAGAACAGTTTATATTTTTTTTTTTTTTAATTAAGTGCATTGCAGACATTTTAAATTAACATCTTTATGAAAAAAAAGAGAAAAATCTTGCCTTACTTTTTAACTTGTCACGATCAGATTCTGATGGAAATATCCAGTCTGGGAAGAGCTCTTCAAATTTAATACCAGGATATTTTGGCCTGTTTTCTACATAATTCCTCACTGTAGGCTGTAGTTTCTTCATGAAGTCTGCTGATGGTGTTCCTAATTGTTCAATAACTTTATTCCACTGATCAATATCTGCAGCATATCTTTAGGAAAATCAGCTGAAGAATTTGAAGTCTGCACTACACAAAAATATCACCTACAGAAATCTGAAGTTAATGAAAACTTGAACAAAGAACACAAATATGAACTTCACGCTAGCATCAACAGTATTATGAGCTGCCATGCAATAAGCTAGACTGACATAAAATTCAGATTTTGTAATCTTAAGGACAGGTTAGAAGTGCTGCACAATATATTATACTTAAATTTTTTTTGTTAATTATTATTTATTGGCTAGTATTGAAAACAATACTTTTTTTGGAGTCCAAAAGAAGCTTTATTGGACAACTGTGTCCAAAACAAAACAACTATAAGGACAGAAAAGAAAGGCTGCTGTTGAATTTTCTGATGTACAGTATAATATCATCAACAATGAAGATTCTGAAAGGTAGGGGAAAATAAATTTTAAAAAACACTAGAGCAAAAAATATCCCTCTCATAGTAAGGAATTTCATGCCTGTCTCCTAAGGAAATTGGGCTTTGGGGTAGGGAGGTGTTGGTTGAATGGTTGGGCTTTTATGCTTTGGGATTTTTTTTTTTAATTTTGTTTTGATTTTCAGCTTCTGAAAAGGTTCAAAGGAGTTATGAATCCTGAACCTCAATTCTTGTAGGTTTTTAGCAGTCTCTTTAAAGTGTATTAACTGTGGCAATACTCAAAGACTACTCTGTTCTCAAGTTCAGAGTTTCAATCTTTTATGGGAACTGCATTTATAAGCCACCAGTTGAAACTATGCCTCATGTTTCTTCTGGACTGTCCCTTCTCCCTCTTTCCAGGGCAGCTATTTCCCCTGGACATGGTGACACTCATTGTACAGAGACACCAGAGTCTGCTCTGAACAAGCCTACCTGGGATAACAAAGCTTGTTTAGCACACTGAGGAAACACTGATTTCTATTTCTGATATATCAAAGTTTATTTAGATTCATACTTTACAGTTTTCCCTGATAAAAAGAATGTGTCAAGCCATCAACCTTGGAAACATTCGTAGCTAAATTCATAATCTAGCACTTCAACCTCTCCATTTAATTAATCCACTAATGTAATGAATACATTACAGATTTTGTAATAAAATAACAAACTTGCTGCACTTTGAAATTAAGATGTATTAAAAAAACATTGAGGTGATTTTATTTCAGTTAGTGTGCCATGTATAAAGCTAGAAATATATGTACAGTCACTGCTTCAGGCTAAGACTTTAGACTTCTGATACAAAGACTGAAAATTGCATTTACTTATCAAACACATTACAATGGAAAAACTATGTTAAAATCAAAATTAAGAAGTCAATATTGTTAACTCTCATGCTAAAACAAAGCACATACAAAGAAAATTAACATACATCAGGAAATTTTGTTCCTAATTGGAAGACTGGTTTCTGTGAGATCTCCACCAATCTAGATTCAAGAAGATGCTTTTTATTTGAGCAGTCTGGTTAATCAGCTAATCAAACTAGATTCCAGTCTACTGTGGTTTGAGAGCTCAGGGAGGAGGGCAGAAAAACTTAGTGACCTATCCCAATTTAGTAATAAAAACTGGAAAAAACAATGTTTCAGTTGGATTACTTCAAAGTACTTTACAGATATTGAAAATCTAAGAAAAAAACCAAACCAGCAACAAATGAAAAATTTTCCAACGTAGAGCTGGACTTGAAATAAGCTAAGCCTCTCTTACCAGAAACCCAAATGGGAGAAAACCTTCATTTCCATGTAAAGCACACAGGGCATGCTATGGGAATAACTGCAACCTGCAGACAAGCCTACCCTGTTCTCATGACCTCAGGATCACAAGTAACCAGAGAGTTACTGACCTGTGTCAGGTCTATCTGCCTACTTTTTGCAGAGTTTGGAAGAAGAGTTTGAAAAAGTCCTTATTACAATTACAGTAAAGCATGACTTTTCCCAGGAAAGCACAAATACCCCACCCTCTCATGCTTTCTGCATCAGCACATTGGTTTCCCTGCTCTAAATCCCCAAATATTAAGATGACATTTTTACATTTAAGTTAAAAACAAAAAAAACCCAAACCACACACAAAACCAAAGGCTGTGCACACCACCATCATCTGTAAACCACACTGTCAAAACTATCCTGCAGCTGAAGGGAATAGGAAGCAACAATCTGACTGAAGCAGTTATCACTGAGGAAAAGTTTCAGTAACACCAACAGTTATCAGCATTTCACATCAAAGAGAACTGAAAGTCTTACAAGAAGTAAAAAACCCTGTAAGCACAACTATGCACTTCAATAAGATCCCAGGAGAGGAGACTCCTTGAAACAGACTGGTGGAGCTTTAGTGACCCCCAGAGAATCACAAATTATAACATGCATATTCCAATATGGACAAAATTTCCTTCATTTATTCATGAATAAATCAAAACAGCCCATGCTAACATGCAGGTGAAAGACACACAACATACATGAAGAATTGTGTTAGGTTGGTCTGAAGGCTTCAAAAGATAAAACAATAAGTATAAAAAGGAAGAAAGGTGAAAAACAAAAAGCCTTAAGAAGTAATTGTTTGGACTTCTAAATAATGCATATCAGCTGCTGAAGATTAGTGTCATGAAATTTAGCATAACAATTTAAAGTCCTCCTCTGTAAGGTACATAGGCATCTGTGAGCATGGAGTTGATCTTTTTAGTGGTGGACTAAACTTTTCCTTGGTGAGAAGCAAAAATACTGCACTTTCTTCAGTACCTTGGACCATAAGGAGCTATAGCTTATGACCTACAGCCACAACTGGCAATGGTGATTTAATTACATCTTCTGCATTCTGTTTACTCACTGATCAGTTTTGAATGTCCAGACTGACAGCACTACTGCTTTGTAAGATACTTCTTATCCAAGATGAAATTGTTTTTTCTCCAATTTTTATGAATGGAACATAATAATGAGTCAAATGTTGTAAATTTTGTGTTTCAAAATATTTCCCTAGAAACATCAAAATCTTGAAAGAACATTTACTTTACTAAATGATCAGTTCTGTTCCCTTAATACAGCATGAAGACTTCTGATCCAGTGATGTATTATTGAGATTTTCAATCTCTAAGGCATGAAAACATACACACAAGGGGTTTGTTTTTAATGCAGTAAAATTTCCTACAGTTACTACTGTACTAGAAAGCAGCATTTTATGAAGAGAAAGCTTGGTCAAAAATATCAGAGGGAGAAACAAAGGAGTAAGTCTTATAGAAAAAGTAAGCTTAAAATAAAATTTTCAGAGAATAAAAAAAAAATCTAAAAAGTTTCTCTTTTTATATTAAATAATAGTAATTAAAAAAAGATTTCTCATGCAGTATGCTTGCTATTAGGACTGTTGCCCAGCAAGTGCTAATAAACAAGAAAAAAATCTGACTGAAACTCAAAAAATTGTACAATGAGTCTACTGTTCAAACAAATAGTGAGCAAAATCCATGCACAGTAAAAAGTAACTTTGTAGGCTTCTGCTTTTAACACTATGAAGAACATGAGTAAGAAAGTATACTTACTGCTATTTTTTTTACACCTAATAGTATCCTTTTTTAAGCTACAAAAGCTGAAGCTCTTACTATAAATTCTATGGACTCAACCAGTACAAATTACATTAAATATAGTCTACTGAGAAAATAAAATGGTGAGCTCAATTTGGTTAATGACACTAATTTCAAATAGTACAGCAGATCTATTAAAACATATGATTGAAAATATTGTTTATGCTTTTATCCTGCTATAGATCAAAATAATTGTGTTTCTGTTGGAAGTGGAATGGGACACAAGGATGATTAGGGAAGGATACGATCAGTGCCTTGGAATATCACACAACCTTTCACCAATTCTCCCATGATGCACCCAACTGACCAGATATCAACTGAAAGTAAAAATGAAATGATCAAATTATGAAGTATCATGAACAAAAGTGAGGGAAAACAAACAAAAACATCTAGCAGCTACGATAAAACGCAACAAGGTGGAAAACCAAACTGCTCACATGAACTTTCCATCACAGCAACACCGACTGACTGCTGCTAAACTTTAACTTTGTAAACTTTGTGAAAGAGAACCAGTGAAACAACCGTGAAGAAGGATACAATCTCTTCCTGGGAACAGGACTTTATGGAGGACCATTTCTGCCATAATGCACCCAACAGACCAGATATCCACTATCATATGTTAGGTGCAACAAGGACAAAAGATCAAAGAGGGTTTTTTAAATACAATTATTTAGTTGTAAGCTCACACTGTATTCTTACAGTCCTGCAGATATTTTGTTTTGTCCCATCCAGAACAGCCTCTACTAAAGTTCTGATCCACACCAGCACCTGCTGTACAACAAGCTGCCTTGTGCACTAAAGAAAGGGTTTTTTTCCACTATCAGTGGCCCAGTAAGGTCCTATTAGTCCCTTGTTTTACACAGCCAGAGTGACACACATGAAAAGCACAGCAACCCCAAGCCCCTGTGGTAAAACAAAAAGATGCACTAGCATAGAAGCCCAGAGGAGGCAGCATCACACCAGAGCTAATAAAAAACAGCAGGTAAAACCTCCAAAAATGCAAGTCAATGACACTTTCCTTGTCAGCAGTTCTGTTGGCTGAATGTTCCATATATTATAGCTGTGTTGTTTTTAATAATGTAACACCCATAGCCTCTGCAAGTGCTATGCAGATTTAAGAGAGTATAAGGCATGCCTTATGATAGCCATCTGATACAGATTTTAATCATCAGAGATGCAAAAGGGGACACACTGTCAGAGGAAGATGCTTTAGAAGAAAATGATATTGATATAAGAGTTTATTCTTTATATTGATGGCTGTTACTTTTTTAAATGTCATCCAGCATAAGTGTCTCAACAGACTTTTGTAGAATGAAAAAATGGCAACAAGACAACAGGGTAACACATGAAAAGATAGAACAATAGCAGGAGAGAGGGAGCAGTGTATGTTACATGGAGATAGGCACAGAGAGCAGAAAATGATTACATTCTCCAAAATTATTCCAGTGTAAGTTTTGTTCCTAGCATACTTTAACAACAGGCATGGCAGGGAGCAACCAGCCCTCCCACCCCCTTTCAATGCTGTCACGTTCCAAGGCAGATAGGCTTTAGGCAACAGAGTTCTAGCACTCACTTTTCTTACTCCAACTTACCATTTTCTTTATACCCCATCCCGAGGATAACCTCTGGTGCTCTGTAGTACCGTGTCACCACATATGGAGTCATCATGAAGTTAGTACATGCTGTTCTTGCCAGGCCAAAATCAAGGATTTTCAGCGTACAATCTGATTTTACTACTATGTTGCTGGGTTTCAAATCCTAACAAGAAATTACTTCAGTTAAAGGAGGATCAACGTACAGAATAAGACACACAGAGTCAATCTGTGCCACCAGCTCACTTCACTGACAGCTGCATACTCCTGCTCTGATGCATCTGCTTATTTATACTCAGACTAGAGACAAGGTAAATGCTGCACAGCCAAAGACTCAAAAAATACAGGGAAAATCACAAAGTCATCTGCAGAGTCTTAATTTGCCCATTTGGGCACTGACAGTACAGTCAGTTACATAAGGGTCTGTATATGTGCACAATGTGTACATATACCTCCTTCCTTTAACACTTCAAGTGGACCAATCTTGGGTATGAACTGCTGCATTGTGAAGGAGACTGAAAACTGTCACTATTAGGGCACAAATCCTAAAGGCAACATCATGAATTAGTCAAATATCATCCCAACACACAAAGCATTAATAACTGTATTTGTTAATGACAGATAAGCAGTATTTCACAGAATTAGGATGTGAGTTACCCAATGAGGGAGGAGAAAAATAAAATACTTTAGGAGATACGCCTCATGGGAACAGTCACTACTGCACCCAGAATACAGATAGGGGAAAACAGAACAATCTGGTTCTATTCACAAAGTATCAGGAGTAGCCAAATTACAGATGTACAAGTACATTTAGTTCTCAAATGCTTGACTCAGTTTCAACCACACTAACCATGTTCTCAGGTACAGAACTACTTCTTCTTGCAGGAGATAGGGACATGCAAATAGTTCATGTGGGTGTGCATGTTTCAGGAAGGCAACAGATCTTCTGCAGAACACTACTGAACTTACTCTGCTGGGTCACAGACTCTTGAAGCAATTTCTAGGTGTAGTTCCTACTATTTCAGTCCTTCTGAACTATCCTACCTCTGCTCCTTTCCCAGCGTGGTTTCTTTTCAAACCCAAATCTCTCAATCTAACCAAGAGTTTCCACTCCAGAAAGGTCATTTTGGTTTTGATCCCAAAATAACCCAACCACCACTTTAGCTTCTCCATTCAAAATTCACACCTGTTTAGCTCCTTACAGTGTGGTTCCTCTCATTACTCATTTTCTCATTAACTGATACCAGTTCTGCTGATCTCTGTTAGCTCCTACAAGCTCAAACTTCTCAGCAAATACTGTTGTCTCCCCTTCAGCTCCAAATCACAGTCAACATGTCAGCTGGAGTTCCAGCTCTTCCTGCTCCAGCCTCTTATGTGCCTCACTCCATAATTTTAGGAAAGCACAGTACCAAGACTATCTGGATACAGATTAAAGCTAACTATATATAACTTCCTTGCTAATATCACAGGATTGTCATAGTGTATTTTTTCAGCAAAGTAAGGGAGCAGATCTGTTGTAATTTATACAGCTTCTCAATTATGTATTTTCTTAATGTTCAATCCATAAAAAGTGCATTAAACTAGAATGCAACAGAATTTTCAGCCACCAGGAAGGAAATTTAAAAGGCAAGTGTGTCCACAAAGTAGGGGAAGAAAAGGAAAAGAAGGGGAAACCAACAGAACCATCAAACAGACTAGTTATGAAATAAATGAAACATACAAACCAAACAAATGAAAAAAAGGAAGTCTGCACAGGACTTTGAAATTCTGACCATTCACAGACTTTGATTTTCAGAATCACAGACTGGCTGAGGTTGGAAGGCACCTCTGGAGGCCATCTGGTTCAAGACCCTTGCTCAAGCAGGGCCACCTGCAGCCAGCTGCCCAAGTCCATGTACAGACAGCTTGTGAATGTCTCCAAGGACAGAGATATTTAAGAGGCAAATAGAACATTTTAAAGACTCATTCTTCTGTAATTTGAAAGGTCCACAGATGCTCATGTTTTATCTTTTAATCAGTGCAGCATTAAATCCACAGAGATAACCTGAATAAAGATCTATTTACAATACAGCTTCAACCTTTGAACAAGAAACAATCTTCAGGCTTAATAATATTCTTATGAATGAAAGAAATTTGAACTTAGGAAGAAGCAAACAACCCCTTGCCATCCCCAATTTCCTAAGATCATCTGTGTTCATAAAGAGTATTGTTAATGATCTAATAGTACCTACTCTGTGGATGATACCAGCTGAGTGGAGATGTTTGATACCACATAGCATTTGGTAAAGAAGATAAGACATTCTTTCATGATCCAATTCCATGTGAATAACCTGGCACAAATTTGCATCCATCAGCTCCATAACCAAATATCTAAAGCACAAGAAAGAAAGCATTAAGGAAACTTGAGTCTTACTTTTCATATCAGGTTTAAGCTCAGTATGAAAGACATTTATTATAAGTCAATGACTTTGCTAATGTAAAAGTCAAAAAGCTTGTGATTAAAAAAAAAAATCATGCATGACCAGTTTCAAAATTAAATTATCTATTCAATTAGTCCTACTATTTAAAATTAAGCGTTCAATAGTCCATCACAAGAGATTAGAATTGCACTAGTTTTATAAATACTAATAAGAATAATTTTGAGTTTATGTAGCATGAAAAACTAAGACTGACTGAAGTCGATGCAGAAATTCCAGATACTGCAATGTGTCAAAAAATTATTCTTCCTTTCACTTTATTTTAATACAAAATGTAGAAACTAAGAAGAATTAATTAATTTTCAAGTTAAAATATCATCAGCTTCCTTGCTTCAGCCATACTCAGTCCCTCATTTACCCAAGAAGCCTATTCACAGACCACAACAGCATATGCACTGGAATCTATGAATACCCCACCAATTAAATCACCCTGAATCCTTTCTAGACCAACTGACATAGCTTGCATAAAAAAGAAATGTATTCAGTTTTTAATTGAGGCCAAAAATACTGTTCTGCTGATGTGACTAGTATGGCAAAAAATGGTATCAAGTTATGCAGACCAAGTTATTATCCTGAGGTGACCCATTTAGCTGAAGGACAACGCACACAAACCAGATGGAGTCAGCAGAGTATGGCAAACAGAGGAATAATAGGTAAATAACCTTTTTTATTTCCCACTTCCTTCTTACGCATGCAGTGAAACAAGTTTCTTGGTCCTTCTTAAAGAAATCTAGAAATAAAGACTAATTATAGGCCAAATCCAGCTTTTAGAGACCCTCTATTTTCAAAGTGTGAAGTCTGTAGCACACTGGAACTACAGCTCCAAGGATTAGGCCAGTATTTGTCAGGAAAATTAAAACAAAAATCTACTACTTACACATCCTGAAATTCTTCTAGTGACTTCTGTGGTGTAAATACATTTAATAAACTAATTATCTAGAAAATAAAAATAAACATTAGAAGAAACTTCAACTTTAATTCACATAAAAATCCACTACTGCAGAAATTACTACTCAAAAATCAAATGCACACTGTTACTATACACAACTTGAATGTTAGTTGCCTTCACTGAACTCAGATGTGCTGAAAAACTGCCAGTTCGGAAGTAGCTGAAAACTGCAGCATGTGTGCCAAAGGAACTGAGACAGGACAAAACCACTTTTTTCTTTTTAAAGTTGTATGACACTTATCTCCTTCCCTAGTGCCTGAAATATATTCCATTTTCCCCCCATAAATAATAATCTCTCATTTTAAACCACATGTTGTGCAAGGAATTTTTAACGAAGGCTGTGCAACAACACGTACACAGAGGAGCCCCACACCATCCCATTCACTTGGATTATGATGTACTATTTCCAGAAGAATTGCTAAAATTACTGTCCTCCCACCCTTAATAACCACCTTGCTTTTATTCTGCTACTCCTGGACTTCACCAAAAGCTTGCTTAAAAAACAATCCTGAAAGTATTGTCTTCAGGAAGTTTGAGATGTTTCTAGTTCATGACAGTAACAGAAGATCACAGTCACATACACTTTGTATTCTTGTCCTTGAATACTGAAGTATTGACAGTAAGGCTTGTTATTTGAGAAGGTTCAAAGACTTCCAAATGTTTATGTATTGTCCACAGTATTTCATTTCTGTTTACCAACAAATTGTTAGAGAGTGCTACAGCCCTTCAACCCCCACCACTGTACTTAATATAAAATCTTGTTTAAGCTCAGAAGGCTTAACTACAGTGTGATTAGAAGAGCCAAACCCACAAACAAACCCAATGCCTAACAGGCTTTGCTGCAGTATGACTTAAAAGGGGCAAATGCAATACAGCAAAGCCAGCTCTGTAAAGCTGAGACTGAGGGTAAACCTAGACCAACAACGCAGCAAAAACCTCCTCCTGGCACTTCAGGCTCCTAACAGCTCACCCAACAACTTCACCACACATCGGGGGAACTTGCATCACCCACAGCAAATCTTTCCAGTCTTCCCTCCCTATTCTTCCATTACTTTGCTTACTAACAGCAAGTAAGAGAGCAAATTCTCAGCTTTCTTGAGAGTTTAGAGTAAGAAGGGAGAGGAACATAAAGCCCAACTTACATTTTTGTGATTGACGCATTTTAAAAGAACAAGCTCTCTGTAAGCTCTCTTTGCGTGGGTTTGATTCTGAAAGGGACGACTCAGCTTCTTCACAGCAACATTTATTCCAAGGACTGTATCAAAAGCAGCACTAGAAGTTTTCAAAGACAAACAACTTAAGCTGGAGTCTGTTTGAGGGACAGGAGGCGGCAAAAGGGAGACGGGAGCGAGGAAAGAAATCATGATTTGAGATCAAGCATATCCACTAAACTGTTTATGATAACTTCATCTCATTTTCATCTAGAAAATAAATTTCCTTTAAAAACCTACACATCCTTTAATAAACAAAACCAGGTTAAACAGAAGTCACTGACACTCATCAGAGGTCTTCCTGCCCTCCTTTCCGTCTTAAGAGAGAATCTGCTGATTCAAGACACGCATTCAAAATTGCAAGACCTAAAAATATTTTAAGCTTATTTGAAATCAAGAAGCATTTCAGTTGCTTAGTCTGTATATTTGGAGTATTTTTTTGGATGCTGTTGCTGACTGAAAATCGTTTAGTATTTGCAATAGAAATTTCTCTTTGATAAAGGACAGCCACAATCATGTCTCCACGATCCACTCTCCTGGCATCAACCTTCTCCTGTTCATGGATACTTTACAACTATAAACAATTGCAGTGCTTAGCAGAAAATTATATTCATCATCTGGGGCATTTTTAAAAAAAAAAAAATTAAAAAAAAAATCACATAATTGAGAAATATGAAAAACTCAAGACTGCAGGGAGCAATACAAGAGTTTAAAAGTGAACATGAGCATTAATTTTATCTTGTTTTTCTGTTGTGCTCATTCCTTCCCTCTGCAGTTTGAGGTCAAGGTGTAAACTTGCTTGAATAGCTGTAAGAATCTAAACCTAAATTATCTGCATATGCAGAACAAGACTAAAGTGAGAATATTCTTTATTATTAACATATTGTTCAGCAAAATATACGTGAATTCATGCCACAAACTACTCAAGAGTTCCAAACTACAAATAGTTCCAGTTTTAAAGAAGGATTCCCACGTTACTTTATTTCCATTTAAAGTTACTTTGACAGAGTAGGAAAGAATTCTCATTCACATATACTTTCCAAACATATTTAAGCTCTTTCAGAGCTGTCTCATTCAGACACGTATAACACCAGACTTAAAAGACCATCACATTATAGTACTCTTATAAGTACAGCTCCCCCGTGGTAACAATACTCAAATAATACCAGGTTTACCAATATCAAATCACTGCTTTCCCCACTGGAAAAAGCAATTCCAGCACAAAGTGGGGCTTGCCCATGAGGTGAAGTGTCTCCTCAGAGGCATGTCCCAAATTTGAACCAACATGCCACTCGCTAGGATTTATTCCAGCTCAGTTCTGTGAAATCTGTGAGTCATTATTCAATGACACTACGACTCTCAGGTTTAAAGCCTTCATGTCAATGCAAAACAAAATGCAAAATGGGGGGAAGGCAACTAGCCAGACAGCTGGAGATCTTATTTTCCTCCCAAATATGAAAGCACTGCTGTTTCAGTATTGACTTCACCCAGAAGACGTTACACGTGAATTTGAAAGTTCTGCATTTGTTGATGACTTTAACTCCACTTGCGAATCAGTATAAAAATCAAAACCCAACAGGGGCCACATTAATTAGCTGTTCAAGTCAACCACAGGTCAGCAGTAGACAAAGGAGCAATTTTAGGGGAGGTGTTCCTTTCATCTGACAGGTATGTGTCAAGGTTCAGGCTGAGTACACAAAGAACTTCACCTGAACCTCTATTTTGTTCATCTACACGAGACTGACTGACACTGGAGATCAAAAAAACCCAACCCAACCAAGCTGTCTGCTACCTACACAGTTCAAAGGGAAGAATTAAAACAGATCAGTAGAACAAAAAAAAAAGCAAAAAAAAATTGTAAGCATGCATTTATTTAATGCACAAAAAAAAAACCCAATCAAAAAAAGACAGTAGATAATCTCTATTACCACCAAGACCACACTTCTAAATATCACATGATTTTACACAAACAAAATAATGGATGTAATTAATGTTAAATGTCTTTCCCCACCCCTTCTTATCTAATTCAAAAGAGACTTCATGGCAGCTGTTTCAGGCAGAGATTTTAAAAAAGCATATTTTCCAGTGTCTACCCCATTATCACCTTGGCTACTAACAGAATGTCTACAAATTATTCTGCCCATGGAAGAGTCTCAGTATCTATCCTATCATTTAACAGCAAATCCAACTCCATCAGAATGAATTGTAACACTGCACTCGTGATAGTTTTGCAAATAGTATCAAACTTATCTCAACTGTTCCTTCAGCTGCAACTGTAATTACAGTTACCCACAGTCAAAGCTGTGCTATTTATAAGATCACAGTGCTGCCTCATTGCAGGACAAAAATTTGCAGGGACAGAAAAATCAGATTCACTAAGGAAATTTAGGAAACCAAGGACAAGAAAGGAAAACAAGATGTCAGGAAGTTGAAGACAAAAATTATTTCAAAGTAATAATTTTGTGCAAGTGATTATTCAGTCCTAAGCAAATGATAAGACTTCAAATTTATTAATACTTAGGAACAAAGGAGTGCAGGAAAGTCATGTGTAAAAGTGTAGTTAGTATATAAAATACAGAAGGCAGATCCTATTTCTCTCCTAGCCTGTCTGCAGTATGAGCTGGAAATACCCTCCTTGTAAAAAAACAAGTTCCTCTTTCATCTTTCTAGAGCTTTCATCTACCACTTTTCCTCATGAATGTATTTTTAAAACTACTTATTTTCCTACATTTTAATATTGAAGAAAAAAATAAGCAGAAGCAAGACCAATGGAGTTTCCCATTAATATTTTGAGGAAAAAACCCAGCAAAATTCAGACCCCTCCCAGCTGAAGCAACATGCATTAAAAATTTCTTACCAAAAAAAAATTCCACACACAAAACTCCAGAAATACTTTTCCTAATTTTTGTATTAAACACTGGATGATTAAAAAAAAAAAAAGGCATGACATCTGTGTGTCAGCACTAGACAACTTTCCAGCCAAACATGACAAGAGAGCACTCATCCTATACAGGGCTTTCTACATTTTGCATCCTATTATTTTGTATCTTTCCTTTATGTACCATAAGGAATTTTAGGAGACATCAAGACTTTGCACCTTCCTCGGCTTAGACGTAGTTTTCAGATACTACACATGAGGATGAAAATCTATGCAATGCTTCACTCTGTTGTTCCATTAATCAAGTATTCTCCAAATAAGTCAAATATCAGATCATTCCTTCTTCCTCCCAAAATGTTGACCTTAACACTACCCTGACTTCATTTTGCAGCAGATACCTTAAGTCATAGTTTAGAAATGCACTACTATTAATGAAAGGAGGAACTCTTACAACCACCCTAAATTCCTGCATGCTGTCTAGAACAAGCATAACTTTAAGAATATTGATACCCAGAAAATGTTAGCACTACACTAAATCTTACTCCAACAGTAAAATCCAAGATCTAGTGTGCCTATCCACTCAGCACTCAACCCACTACAGAAAAATGAAAAATGGTGTTTTCATTTTGCTTATTTTTCACCTATCAGCAAGGCAATAGGGCTGTCTACATGATTTAAAAATAAAGGCATGTCCTCATAAAACTGCACTCTCTTCCTAGATAGATAACTTATTACAGTCACAAAAAGGTCAAAAAGACATGGGCAGGTGCTGTATAAAGAGTTGCTCACAACACATGAGTCATCACACTTATCCTGCAGAATTTACAGATGAAGAGAAACTGCAGACTGGATTTAAAATATGAACAGCCCACCATGTGTTCTGATTAAATCTAATATTAGAGAGTTCCTCAGCATATCTGTTTGCTCCCCTGTGTATGGAATTAAAAAAGGCATCAATAAACATTTCTGCTGTTACCAAGTAAGTTTTGCCCAACAACACAGGGCCTGGCACTAAGCCGTGTAGAATGGATTGCTGCAGTCTAAAAAACATTTGAAAGTGTTTACCTTTAGCTGGCCCAGAGGTGTGGTGCCATACAAGAGACTAAGGTTCAGGATCAGCCTAACGACTCTCACATCCTGGGCCAGTGGAGGCTGGACACATAGCTGAGGTGACACACCAAGGGAGAGCCGGCCAGCCCAGCCCCTCACACAGCATCCCTTTCTGGTTACTCCATGGAGTGACAATGACACTGATCTGCCTCATCCTGCCAGTTAATGGCAAGGCACTGCATTGATGGCTCCTAGAAATGGACAGGAGTGATTGGGAATAAAAGGGGGGGAAGAAAGGGGGCCATGATGAAGAAAGGAGTAAAACCCCGAATCGCTCACCATTGCATCGCCATACCTCACACTGCAACAGCATAACTACATGGGGAAGGGGAGAACTAGAAACAGAAATAGAGTGGTTAATGAGAAGGAAATCTGTTGACCATTTCAATTTATGCAGTTATCCAAATACTAATTTTCCCCTAAAAACAAAACACCCAAAGGAACAAACAAAAAAGGCTTGCACATGAGCTATAGCAAGGAGATGTTTAAGAATTTATTTAGTCCATAACCCTGTAACAAGAGACAGAAATTATCATCAGTATTTTACACTCTGGCACCTCTATCAGGAATACATTCAAAATTTGGTTCATATTTAGAGCTGTTTATATGTAAATGTTACTCACCAAACAATGCCTTGTGCCCCTGATCCTATGGGCTTCAATTGCTGGTAACGTTTTAGAACAGTGAATGTTGAATCTGCAACTTGAACACTGTAAAACTGACTGTCACATTTACTGTCACTCATGGTGTAGTGTCATGTAGTTTTCTCTCTCTCTCAAGGACCTGGTAAAGTTTTCAAGATCTTAAAGAAAAACAAAGAAAACAAATGTTGAATCTCTCACTAACTTCAAGCAGACAAGATGGAAAATATATTACATGTTTTAATACACATCCATTTTTCAATAACACACCATTAAATAAGCATTCCTTTAGTTTTGTCTTACCACTAATGAAAAATACCTGCAGGCAGATAACAAATAATTACAGCCTTCACAGCTTTAAATAAATGCATGTTTCTATTCCAATCCCTAAAACAAAAAACAGCTAAGTAAACAACAACAAAAAAAAAAACCACCCAAAACCAACAACTCTACTCCTTGAAGATTAGTCCCTGACTTAGAATTACTACTATGTGCTAAGACTGTATTAATTTCAGCACTACAGGGGGGAAAAAAAAGATAAATCATAAATTATGTCTTTTAGCCACTGGTAACATATAGAAGAAACAGCAAAAACCCAGACAGAGGAGGAAATACGGTTTTATTAAAAGACTTAATTACAACTGCAAAACAGGTTTGAAATAAAACTGTTTCCCCAAAATACTCACAGCTGCTGCCCTTTCTCCAACACCCCTTTCAAGCTAGTTCAGTAGGGAACTTCAAGCAGGGCTCTGCCTCCTCACCTGCCAGGCTACCCTTCCCTGATCCATGCTTAGCACAACCCAGGCTCCCTCTCATTTGAAACACCCCTTAACATCCATAACTTCCTAGACTATCACATTGGGTACTTACAGTCCCACAAGAATTAGAGCTTTGTGCTATGCTTTGTAAGAGACTTTCAGGCCACAACTGACAATAAGCTAGATCCATCTGTTAAGAATGAATTAGAGGTAGGTAATTACATTGGAGAAGCAAGGTAATGGACTAAACCTCTTTAGCTCTGAAATGTCACAGTAATGAGAGGACAGACCTCCAGCCTTCCTGGGCTTCCACCCCCTCCCAAACCTTAGAAGAAAATTACCTCAGTAATTACTGAAGAGTGTCTAACAAATTTGCTCATTTTTAATTTCACATTCACTATGACAGATCATGTCATTACAGCCCAGAGTAAATTGCCCAGCCAAGTGTTCCTTGAAAGAGGGAAGGCAAGCAGATCACCTTCCTGGGGAGCAGCTGCCCTCACCACCAGCCTGCACAACGCGCTGTCTGCCTACGGAAGGGCAGCTAGTCCCCCTCTCTTTGCTGGCCTGCAGAGTATTTCTGAGCCAATGCAAAAGAGAAAAGCCTCAAGAACAACCCTGAAGCCCATCCTGTGAGGGCATACAGCCACATAAATAGCTTTTGGTTGCTTCAAGAATTAGGATTTGGCCCTCTCTCTTCCTAGCTGCACGTAGGAGGGATCAGCGTCTTTTCCATGGCTTAAGGCAGCAGATAAGCTCCAAGAAATCTGCAAGTAAAACAGGCAGAACTACAAATCCTAGTAAAGTCTGGGCTTAAACTGCACTGGTAATGGTTAGTCTTAAGGGATTCTCAAGAAATGTCTAGAGTCCCTTCTACCTTCTAGTTTCTCAAAATCTAAGCAGCATTTTAAGAAGCAGATATTCAGCTTGGTCACCTCTGGCAGCACATACAGAGAGTAACTTTACCTGATATTTCCTCTTAGAAGCTTAAGAAAAAAATCAGAGAAAGGATCAACAAAGGGAAAATGTGAGCTACCAACTTTCTGTCTCTGCCACAGCAGTAGTAGGGGGAAGAAGAGAATTACATTTCTTTTTGAATACTTTTAGGGGAACCAGGTGCCATTCCACAGCCAGCTCACACTAGCCTGAGACCAAAACACTGCCTTAAGAGGCATTCTCAACCTTTCCTACTACATCCCAGGAACAAATCCCACTCTTTCTGCCACCCCTTTATGCCTCCAAAGCGATGGGCTCTGGGGTATCACATTTTTTGATTAACAGTCCCTGAGCAGTCATGGCATTTTCAGTGAATCTTCATACACTGGAAGAAAGGTACCTCTGGAAGGTCAAGATCCTACCTCTGAAAGGGACAGAACAAACCCAAAACCGGATAGATTTTGCATAAGCTGGGTATCAAGTTAAAGACCTGTTAGTTACACAGTAACTATGCTGTGCCACTTGAGGGGTTAAGGAAACACTTTTCTGTAAGAGAGATGAAGCAGGGGAAAGGAAGTTATCCTGACCAGAGAAACCCTCCCATTAAGGAACCTTGTCTGCACAAAGCTATCTTTTAAAAATCGTTTAGAGCTCAGGATAAGCTCTTTAGAGAAGAGCCAAAGAGGGAACCAGGCACCACTACACTCAAGTTTTATGCTTTCTGACATCCTTTGCAATTCACAGTGCTAAGCTCCCAGCCTCTCCATAAGCTGAGTCCCAATTTTCACTTGGGCTGCAAGCTGCTGGGATGTATCAGGACCTACATTACTGCAGACACACACAGCAATGTAAAATTAGGTGCCTGGAGGCTGTAGCTCTTCACAGGACTTCAGACAGCATCTATTTTGGGGGCAAGATCCCTCAAATAAAAACAGACTTCCCATTGCTCACAGGAAAAGTATAGCTGGCAACTCAGTTTCTTAATCCTGAGCTGCTACTTTCCTACCTGAAATAATTTGATTCATCACTCCAGCTCACATACTCCACACACTTCTCCTATACCAGATTCTTTTGGAAGTAGGTGTTATTTCCATTTCTGAAACGTTAAGTTTTCATTTATGGCTTCCCAGCTGCACCAAACAGGACCAGCAACAAACGTAGAAGTCACAGGGTGGTCAGCAAACATACTTTCCTTGCTGATAATAGCATGTTACTGAATCACAGTGTTTTGAGATGTTTTTCTATTTTGGAGCAGGCATAAGATGCATGCAAGCTGAGTGTTGTTTTTTTTTTCTTTTAATATAAGTTGCTTGTACCACTGGGGAGATTTGAGAATCACAAAGCTGACCCAGCACATCACGTACAGGAATCTCACAGAAGTGTTTTGCAACCTGTAGCTCATGGAAAGTTAACTAGAAAAATAACCAACACACCAAAACGACCACAAGCAGCCTCATGAGCTGTTACACAGAATTCCTCTAAGAAATTTTTAGAAGTTGAAAGCAACTGCACTACAGTATACATCCTGTATTAAGGAGTCACTTCCCTAAAAGGCATTTATTAAAATGGCAACTCATTATTAACCAGATCTGTCCTCTGGATATCTTCAGGTCAAAGCTTCTGAAACAAACAGGTTGTAGCAGTAGGGAACACATTCCCAGACTTGGTTTTGTTACAAAAATGGTATTGCTGACAATGAAGCATAAAAACATCAAGAAACTCAGCTTGATTTTTAAGCCTCAAGCTAAAATTCTACATCTGACAAAAGAAGTAGATGCTGAACATGTAAGTATGTATGAGAAGTAAAGATGGAAATTCTGTGCACAAGAACTCTCCTTATTCTCTTACTCACCCCTGCAAATACACTTCAAACTCAGTAGTGCCCTTTTGAGGAGTATTATCTAAAAGTGCTGGGTTGGGTTTTTTTTTTTTTAATCTTTACAGCAACATCTATCAACAGGTCTGAGTCCAACTACAAAACCACAGTGAGTTACCCTCTATCCCTCTACTCACAGCCCTTAGAGTCTGTGACAAAAAGGTGAGTGTAGCCAAGCAGTAGGTGAGTAATGACAGTTGGATACAGCAGAGTCTACAGGTACTCTTGTGTTTAACTCTCCAAAAAGTCAACCTTTTTCTTGAAATAACCCAAACTACTACAGATCAAAGATTTCACCAACCACCTGCTACAGTATCAGCCAGCTGTTAAACACAAGCTGCAGGCACGATGGGTGCATCGCACCACCCCAGCCAGGGCAAGCTGGTGGAAAGAGGGGAAAAAGTTTAAACGTCCATCTGCTGTGATCAATTACGCTGTAGTAAAATTATACAAGAGCCACCTAACTGAGCCAGAGCCCTTCTCACACCGCTTCTACAACTCCTGCCGAGGAACCGCTTCGGCTCAAGGGAAAGATGCACCGGGGGTGGACAAGCACGGCCCCGTCCCTCGGCTC